GGGGGGGAGGGGGGAGCAGTCAGTAAAGTTTATAGAGAAAAGACAATCGATAGAAGGTGACTTTGACTAATTACTAGCAGTACAGTGCATTAGATTAATACCTCTGAAAATACTTTTCATGAAAGGAGGATGACAGGTTTGCAGATTTGATAGTAGAAGCTAAAGAAAACTGTCAATATGCTAGTTTGCTTGTTGAATGTAAGAGAGCTTTTCTTTTTTCATGCTCAGGTGAACACCCTCCGAGTCATTTATTGAAAAAAAGATACAAATAAAAGGCTAAACTGAGAAGCCGAGGAGAGCAGATGGGATGAGGGTAATGCAGAAGAGAGCATGTGAGTCCGTATACAGAGGAGCACCATAAAGAGTCAGAGGCTTCTCTGAACCATCTCAGCCTCGGGGTAGTCACTACCGCTGGCTCAGAAATCATGCAGGAGAATGTAAAGAACAACTTCCCGCAGTTGGTGCTAGAATAATTAGGGCTTGCAGTCACGCTGCCAGATGGCTGCGTTCCTGCACAGGATGGCCATTATATTGCTACTTAGCAACCTGGCTGCTTGGGCGCTGCTGAACTTTCCAGTTTGGGAAGGGGTATGGAACATGCCTGATGCTGCAGATGACTGTAGTAGGGGCTCAAGTTAATCCTGAATGGATTGGTAGTGATACATGACAGCAAGGCAAAGGAAGCAAGGACTTGAAGGAAGATTAGAAGGGAAGCTCTTCCTTTTATATCTTTGGGCAGTGTCTGTTTCCATGATCGTAGGAAGAATTTACTGATTTAGGGTGGGCTGGGAGCAATGTGGGAAGGAGCGAGGATGCTGAGAGGCTGCAGCATTGCAGCCATGCCCTAGCTGCTTATGGTTGTAACCACTGTATTGCATTGTTCATACGCAGATGTGGACAAAAACGTCTTAAAATTCTCAAAAGAAAAAAAAAAAGCAAAAGAATTTTCGTAAGCCCTTTAGAGAGCAATTACTGCTGTCATTTCTTAATTACACGTGTGCAACTTTACAGGGTAGCTCTATTCAAAGACTCAGAAACTCCTGGTCTTGGAGTCGCTGATGGTCGTTAGGTGCTTGTGCTTTGACAAGCATTTGTGAACAGGGGTCTCCATGCTCACCCTCCTTCCCCAAATTCCAGAGACGGGTGTGCAGAGAGTGGGCACAAATGGTTCCAGGGATGGGATTCTGCAACGGGGGCACATCAGAGCCGCTCTCTTACATGTATGCACTACCTCTCATTCCAATGGGGAACCCAAAATACTTCAGAAGCTTTAGTGTCTCAGTTGCATAATACAAACTGCCACTTTTGCTTACCACTGAAATGCTGCTGTATCTGGGCTGGAATCAGGGCAGGAGTGGAAGGAGTGCTCATTTTAAATAAATAAATAAATAAATAAACAAATAAATAAAAGCAAAATCCACCTCAGAAACCCAAGGATCGAGCGCAAAAGCTCAGGAGGTGAAGCAGAGAATAGAAACTGGAAGATGAGGAAGAATAAAGGACAAATATCTGGGCATAAATGCATAAAAATAAGCAACTAGATTCCAAGTTAGGGCCTCTAAAGAAGTGGATTGATTTCCAGAATTACTGGACTTCTCAGTCACTTTCATGAATATGAAATTTAAACACTTATACTTGATATGGATTTTAAGGATCCACACGCAACACCTCCAGCCCCCAACAACAAACCCCTAACTGGTTTAATCCATCTTTTGTTGTTGTTGTCGTTGTCTTGCAGATATATTTGTTACATGTGCTTATGTGTTTTAAAAAATTTAAACTGAAAAAAAGGAATCGTATTAATCATTAGTGGCTTATTACTGAAGGTAAACAGAACAACTGTCTTGTCATTTTGTAAAATGTATTTTACTTCTTTTTAAAATATCCTACTCATTTGTGATCAGGTAAATCAGGCCACCTTAAAGTTGCCTGAGTCTGAACAATGCTCAATCTCCCATCTCTCTCCCTCTCTCTCTCTTACCTATTATAATTAAGTTCCCTTTGATTTGAACAGATTGGATGATAGGAATTCATAATGCTACATCCTGCACACTGAAGCTAACTGATTAAGTGCTTTAAATTATTCTTCCTGACAGAATGATAAAGTTACAATCTGTTCAGAGATGATCTACAGCTTGCCAGACTCCTACTGCTTCTTTCTACATTCATTTATCTTTTTGTCAAGCAGTTAAAAAAAAAAAAAGCCTCAATTCCATAGATCTTTTAAAGTCATCAGAACATCTGAATTATTAATGAGACTTTAAGGGAATGGTTCCTGATGGGGGCTGGTTTAAGAAAGGTTGTAGGAAAAAAAAAAATCTGGGAATGTGTACACATCAAAATAATTTCAGCTCCATTTAAAAAACCATTTAGTTCAAGTGTGACATATGAACCATTATGCATTTGTGGAAACCAATTTTATGTGATCTACGATTAAACTAACCTTTCAGAGAGGTGTAAAGTGTGATGGTTATCATGTTTTAAAAGCCTTGCAAGATCACATAAACAATTTCAAACTAACAGTTTTCTAATGGTTTGTGTTTAAAATGATTTTGAGGCAAGTTAAGCACTGTGAACTTTTATCTCTACCTTCTTTTTTAACATATGGTGCACAAACTTTCCTTACAAACAGAACTTGGTGCAAGTTAATTCAATCTCATAGCAAGAAAGGGGAGAACTGCATGAGTGCTAAGGATCAGGGATGAACTGCACTGTGTTTCTCAGCAGCCAGTGTAAAGCACTTCCATCTCCCCTGCTTTCCCTGGAATTTTCAAAACAAGGCAATTATTTATATGCTAATCTTTACAATAAAACTCATATCCAGGGAGCTGATCTTTAAAAAGACACCATCAAGTCTTTTTTTGCCTTTACCTGGCAAGTAATAAATACAGAAAATAAATAATAAATGCAGAAACTGGTAGGTTCTAATTTCTTTTTCTGTTTAAATTTCTTTTTGCCAGTGGTGAAACCTTGATCCAGGCATTATCATCTCCAGCATCAAATGCCTGGACCCAGCTTTATACCTTTCCTGTTCCTTTTCTGCCGTTAAAATTGTCTTTGACCACATAATGACGAATCGCCTGTGAAAGTCCATCGACCTGTATACTTACCTTTGAAATGTGAGCTTGACACTCATCTTTACTCATGGCCACTAAGATATTCTGCTCCTAATTACTAAATGTCCTTCTTGAATCCCTTACCCACTTTTCAATCTTTTTTGTTACGCCCGCAGTCTGACTTCAATACGTCTTTCAAAGTCTTAGCACAGATTTTTATGTATCTTAAACAAACTACTTACTCTTTCCTTTAAATGAGTCCAGAAAACCCTTTTTTTAAGTCTTCATATTTTGTTATATTCACCAACTTTTTTTCAGTTCTCTGTCATGTTCAGTCTGTTTCTCTCCCTTTTGGCATGTCGATCCTTACCATATGTGTTTCTACATTATAGTGAGAACAGGCATAGTTTTCTATTTCATTAAGAGCTGTTCAGGAGAGTCCCTCATCTTCCTACGCTATTTGACGGGTTTGTTTTTGACAGCACCACCTGAGAGGTGTTGGAACAGCTAAGTAACTTCATGTATCAGAAAGCAGAAAACATTTACTTTCCCCTCAAACACCTGTGTTTGCAATGGGCTATCAGCACCCCAATGTGTCCATGAAGGTTCTAAAGGCTTCATGCTCTTATTACAAGTAAATAAAAATTAACATCTTGTGTAAGACTTTTCCCTGCAGCATAAGAAGATATAAATAACTAAAGTAAAATGATCAAAATACAGATTTCTTCAACTTGTGTAAGACTCTAGCAATTCTCTCCAACAGATTTATTGTTCTGGTGCTTTTAAATTTCTGTCATTAATTCTGGACTGAGTAATCACATTTGAATAAATGTCACTGTGAAACACCCTCTCTTCTGAGCAGAGGCAAAGAAAGCACTAGCTAAACATGACACAAAGATTTACTAAATCTGTGTTCTCGCCATAATCCCAGGTTACCTTGCAATTGTTTTAAACATGCTTTTTTTTTTTCTTTCATGACACCTGCAGTTTCAAATGAGTCTGTGTGTATGTGTTTGTGTGCCTCCCCCCCTCCACATAAGCAGCTTGTTTATAGCTAAGCTGAAAATTCTCCCATGCAATTTCTTCCTGTATGAGAAAAAAGTAATGAAAGATTCTCCACAGCAATTCTTTGTTTGGCAGATGAATATTTTACATATAGCAGGCAGTAAGTAATTTGCAGGGAGAGAGAAGAAACTGTTCTTACTTTCTGTGAAGGTCTTTATTTTGCCCCAAGGCAACTAAAGTTTTGGGACAAAAATGCCATTCTGGATCAACTCTTGTTGATTTTTTTATTTTTTAAACTAGCAAAGTTCTTACTTTTGACAACGGTAATTTCACTGGAAAATGCCTGACGCTGCCAGTTTAGGCCAGTGGGAACCCATGCCAAGAACCTGCAGGTTTGCTCGATGTGGTTTTGTGTCAACACTCAGATCAACAAAGTTACTAAGAACCTAGTTTCCCTTGTCGAAACCATGCTGGGACTGATGTAAGTGGCAGGACCTCCATTTAAAGCTCTAAAATGTCATCTCTTGACATTGGTGCTGCTTTTCCACTTTCAAAACCTAACCAGGGTAGTTACTAAGACTGTTTGACTTGGGATAGGTTTCTGAACAAACGGGAGATTTCCTGTTACTTTCCAATATAAAAAAATTTGACAACATAACATAGTTGATTTAAACATTCCTCTACTTGTAATGACCAACCTCCCAATTTCATTAGAATATCCGTATCAGAAAATCTTCATCACTGTAATAAACTATTCGGTCAATTTGACTATAGTTAGCAGTGAAAACTGCACATGGTATAACTAAAAGTCAAAACTTTAAGACTTCTGACTTTAGGACAGAAGACAGAGGAGAATTAGGCTTCAATATGATTTGAAGAATTCAGATTTGCGTCCATGTTAGATATTCCTCTTCTGTTGCTCACAAAGTAGACAAGTTGCTTCTCTAATGTACACTGTTTATATTTTTTCTATTTGAGCTGCACAGTTATACATACTATTTTTTTTTGGATAAAATAATTATGTAGTATGTGACAAGTGGCTTCAGATTAACACCCTTCCTTCCTCTGCTAAATGGAAAACAGATAAAACATTAATGGAAAAGCATTTTGGTGTCAAAGCCATTAACATTCTTCCAAAATGCATAACTGCTCTCGACTATCTTCAGTCAATATTGCCAACATAAAAAGATGCTCATGAACATACACGGGGGACAGGGGAGTAGGGAGGGGAAGGGAGGGAAGGAATTGTAATGAGGAATGGGAAATTAAAGATACAAATACTTTTTTTTAGGATAAAATAATTATGTAGTATGTGACAAGTGGCTTCAGATTAACACCCTTCCTTCCTCTGCTAAATGGAAAACAGATAAAACATTAATGGAAAAGCATTTTGGTGTCAAAGCCATTAACATTCTTCCAAAATGCATAACTGCTCTCGACTATCTTCAGTCAATATTGCCAACATAAAAAGATGCTCATGAACATACACGGGGGACAGGGGAGTAGGGAGGGGAAGGGAGGGAAGGAATTGTAATGAGGAATGGGAAATTAAAGTCATGTCTGCACCAGGGTAGGCATCTTCATTGAGCAGGAACCTGGGTGTTTACAAAAGGACACGTGCAATTAGAAAGGCAAGCAGATGAGAGGATAAAAAATAAAACAGGGTTGAGCAACAGCAGCAGCAGCAGCAGCAGCCAGTTTTACTTCTGGTTTGGAGGGAAAAAAAAAGGCAAAAGAAAACCAACAAAACAACCAACCAAACAAACAAACCAATAACTGAATAAAGTTTGTAACTATTTTTTTTTTAATTTCACAAGTTTTCACAAGGACAAAGTTATAGAAGGAAACCCACAGCAGTTGCTAGGTCATGCAGAACCATTAATTGTCATACCTTGGCCCATTCTATTCATCCTTGTTGCACTTTAGAAAAAGAAGTAAGCTATGTAAGTTTTACAATGCTTTTAAACTGTCATATTTCCTGTTGAGCACTTTAACTGGCACATCCTTGTAGTAATAAATATTCTTAGGGCAAAACATGGTAACTTTCTTTGCAAAAAGAAACACGTGAATTTGTCTTTATGATGAAGAGCAACTGTAATAGACTTGTTTGTAGGGGAGCATCGATAATTTGCAACGTATTTCGGTGATAGGACTTACAGCTGCATTTGAATGCGCGCACACATATATTCTGTATTCCAATCATTATGCTTAACACTGCACAGTGGTACTCTCTGTAGCCCACTTAGATGGTTCCAGGTTTTGTCAGTAAAAGTGCTTGGCTTCATTGTCAATTCACACAGCAAGCAAATCTTCAAAATTATCATGCTTGGGGAAGGGGAAGGTAGAAAACAACACTAACCATAAAAGCACCTTGTCCGGGTTGGCAGTTACAATGCTAATCACTCCCGCATCCAAATACTTATTTTCTGTCTGCATGCTTTCTTGCTGGGTAGCCAGGGAAGGTGGTACGTGTTTCTGGCCTCCCTACCCTGGGAAACTCTTCATACCACCTAGAACTAATTCTGTATTTCAAAAGGTTGGCATTTGACATTAAAAAAACAAGCTTGAAGTATCATTTCTATGGCTGACTAGGATAGCTTCCCTTCCGCTACTTTAATTAATTCCCTGCCACGATTTTTGTTTGGCTAGGTGTGTCATTGGTGAGAATCTGCAAGAACCACGCTCCGGCAAGTGCCTAGAACATGATGCCTCCGCACAGTGGATATTTCCACCCCAGCCCTCTTGTTCTGCTCATCAGCTGTCTAGGGCATAGCACCTTTTCTTCCCAAATGGGAGAGACCTTAAAGGCACTCAGTTGTCTTCCCCTGTATTCCTGCATACTGGCATGCGCCCGTTGAAAAGAACCAGCTAGAACATGGAGCAGGATGTCTGGAGGATCTTCGCATATTAGGACTCTTGTTGGAAGATTTATACCACCACTCTAACTACGAAAAGTTGAACTACCATCTGGGGAAAGGAACAAAGTCCCTCGAGATCTGATACTTAAGCATAGAAAAATGCTTGCTCTTTTCTGAACATTATTTATTCTGTACATAAGGTGACTAATTCACCTTTTAAAGATGTAAAAGTCCCAGTAAGGCAGTTTTTAATGACTTACATCCAATATTTATGATACATATGGCTTTTTATCCCAAATGTCAAAAGTGAAAGAAAATATAGCTATTCATGTGGCAGTATAAATAGACAGAATAATAATTTAATATGCAATTAGACTCTTTCTAAACTTAAATTAAACCATTGGAGTTTTACAACTCCATGCCTAGACAATTTCAGTGTTAAAGGGAAAAGATACTATCTCCGAAAGGCTACTATTTTAGAGAAAGTCCTTAAACAAGCAGAAAAGTCCCTGATGTTGCTTTGGTATAAAGCAGGTGTGTAGCAATAATCTATACAAAGAGTATAAGCCCTATACAATATAAGCTTTGAGAGTGAGAAATCAGTAGGGATTTTTTTGGTTGATGATTTTTTTTTGGTTTTTTGTGTTTTTTTTTCAATGGGTTAGTTTTATAAGCTTCAAATAAATGTAGCAACTCCTGTAAATATGAATATAAAAAAAACCTACTGCAACATACATCAACACTTCTGCACTAAATGACTTTCTTTGTGTAACTCTGACATCAAGAGCAAGTGTTCATGTTAAATATACTCTATTTTCTGATATGTCGAGTAACTGCAGTGAGTTATTTATGTTTTCAGTGTGCCTATGGGTTTAGAAATTTTTTTTTTCTCCCCTAGCATCATAAATAACTTTTGGTCCGTCTGCTTTGTTGCTGTTGTGCTTAAGGGTTTTATGGTGGTGAAATAAAAATGACAATCACATGCACACTGTCATACATATGCAAAATATGTGTACAAAAAGGGAGAACTCCATGGGAAAACAGGGAACATTACTGCTGGAAACATTAACTGGGGAGAATGGGTGGTGAATGCAAGTTTCACACACAGTGGGAGCAGGTACACATATCAAAGTCTATCTTCCTGCACATACTTCTGTTTTTCCCGGGAATCCCTGGTCTTGGTGCGGTTCGGTCGGTTTGCTGTTGATGGGATGGAGTGAACTGATGAGCTCTTCTTGCTGGAAGAATAGGAGGAATGGGAGGAATGAGAAAGACTGGCCCGGGACTGGCCAGCGTTGTGGTCAAATTGCATCAAACAGAAGATCAAGTCTGTCGGCACAAGCTCAAATTCATACGGTGGGTTTGTGATAACATAACTGGAAAGAAAGAAAGGAAGAAAGAAAGAAAGAAAGAAAGAGAAAGCAGGTTTAGATTTGTACTAAAAAATTTCTTCTAGAGTTGTTATCTCATGAACATTTACCTAGATTTTTGCATTTCTGTTTCCTTCAATCTGTACCTAGTTTTAGCTCACATAATACCCGTTGTGATTTAGGACCTTCTTCTGTCAGATATCACTTTTTGTATGTTTTCTCTTGCACAGACATACTGTCTGAGTAGAATGTTCTTCAAGTGAATCATGTCATGGTTTTTCAGAGAAGACACCATACAAATCACCCTCCTTTTTCTAGCTGCACCGTAATGTAATGACTCTAGCAAACAGATTTACATATTGACAAAAACCAGTAACATACCCACCAGCAACGGTATTTAAAAGAATGGCTGAAAAGCAGGGAGAGGAGGATTTTAGGTGCAGTTACATTTAAATACATAATTACTATATATTTTTTAAATATTTAAATACTGTCAATAGAGCAAGGGATACAATTATGTTTGGATTGTGACTGTACATAAAACAAGTTCAGGAAAATATATCAGCAAATTTGCAGTGAGGTTAATTTTGTTCATTCATTTCACATGTACATTCATGGCCTCAAAGAACATTTATAAAGAGAAATCCGCACATCCAAGAATCCAGCATTGCTAAGTATGCATCACAGGCCTGAAATAAAAACTCTATCAATTTCATGAATCCTCACCTTCAACTAAACCCCTTTCAGGACAGAAAGGACTTATAGACCCTGTTGCTAAATTTTTTCATGCATGTGAAAAACATATTTGAGCAAGGCAATAGGCATTTTCTGTCCAAGCAAGAAATGAGTAAAATAGATCATGAAGCTCACAACTTCTTTTCAAAGAAAGTGCTCCTAAGAAATCTGGCTTAGCTGCCTCAGGGACAGAAGTCACTTATTAATCCAACAAATAATCCCAAGTATAGCAAGTACAGTGTAAATCTAAACTGAAAATCATTTTTTCTACCCAATTTGTCCGAATCCTTACAGAAGAAACTGCTTTGGTGGGCTGCAGGGTTGTTTATTGCCATGTTCACCCAATAATGATGCTTTTTGTGGAGAATGAAACAGTAACAGATGGTAGATTTGTGATAGTTCTGGTGTGGGTCCGTGTGTGTATTTCTAGTAGGCACTTAATTAAGACACAATTCAAGTAAGCTGCTAAATGGCCTTCAGTTTGCAAAGATGGAAATGTGTCTGCTCTATTTAAAGCACTGAGGTCAGCCTTGGTGCTGCTGAAGTAAAAATGCAGCCTGCCAAGAGAAGGGTTTCCATTTACTGGAAGAAATGATGATTAGATACAGATAGTACCAACGGGAAGCCCACAGGAGCATTTTCTGGCCATTCAGAAAAAAGGAAGTCTAGCTACTATAATCTAAATTATTATCCAGTAACTTACAGCTGGTTGATATAAGCAAACTGAAGTCCTTTCCTTATATGCAAGCAGTGGATCATCATAAATCAAACAAGATAAAGATATGTTCTGAAAATTTATTTTAAAAATTTTTGATTTAAATTAGCTGCAAACTTATGCTATGATATCCAGCCTATGATTTAAACTCAGCTAAAGAGTCATCATGAAGTCCTCAAAGAGTTAGCTTTTGTGGCAAAGTTATGTAAAAAATGGAGAAAGCTCTTTTTTAGATTTATTCCAGGCACCGGGAACTTCCTCGCCAAGAAGACTGAAGAACAGTGAAGCAGAGGTGTTCTTAACGACTGGACTTACCGTTTAGTGCATTGGCTGGGAGTACTTAGATGTGCATCCCGTAATCGATAAATTCCAAAGCAAAGCATATTGTATGTTTTCAGTGCTTTACAAAATAGATCTCGGAGAGAACAGCACATTTTTTTCCTTCCTTTTCTCTGTTAACACAATGTCAGGGAACAGGATTTTCAGTAAGAGCCTGTACAAAAAGGACAATGTCTAGACAGTCTGTTGTTTGTCACAATTGAGAATCTTTTACCCAAGGAAATGAATAATCTAAATGTTTTATTTCAAATAAATAATTATGTAAAGTCATTGTTATTTTGGAGAGCCTTGGTCCATGAAAAGACGGTAAATTGGGAAGAGTGAGTGATTTGCTTTAAGCTGGTAATATAAATTTTGGTACCAAACAATGCATATTCTACGAATTACGTTAACTGTGGTATTAAAATTGTTAGTGTTTCTGACCCTTTTTTGGAAGTAGCCATGCTGTCATCTAGACAAATAAATTCACCAGGGAGCACAACAGAAATTGGAGTTCTGAGGGGTTAAAAGGATAATAAAATATCTCCCGCTTTAAAATAATGATGAACTGTATGCCATTTTTCATAAATAATATAAAATGTTTTGATTAGCAAAAAAAAGTTTAGATTTGATGATTTGTATCTCTAAAATATTGACTCTTAAGTAGTGATGAGTGTTAATGCATGCTGCCTTCACTGATGTAGTGCAACTGAGGCTCTGGCGAAATAGCGTTTGAAGGATTGGTAGTGCTTGTTTTATTTGTGGAAACGTTACGCCGCATGCCCAAGTGTTTTGATGAGCTGTTAGTCTCAGCTATGAGTGGACTTCTACATGAACTGAAAGGCTGTTTACTTCTGTCTGTGCACTCTCACCACCCTTAACCCTGAAACGGGGATTCCCTGTCACTGCTGTGAAGGAGGTCGCTCCATTCTTTTTGAACAGAGCTGGTGAACACAAGGTTAATTTAAGAAATATCAAATCTTACATCATCATCATTTACTTCACTCTTAGGATAGTGGAGTCAAAATGTCAGAAAATCAGGATTTTGCAAGATTTTTAGTTCATCCAGAAACAGCAGAAAACAAACCTTATAGCTTTGTTTTCAAGCTAATAAGCAGATTTTAAGCACGAACTGGAAGCTGTGTGGAAAGACTAAATAAGCTTATCAAATCCCAACAAAGGTATAGATATTCCTCATGTTTACACTGGATTATTGTTAGAATGGTTATATCATCCGAGTCAGCTCATCCATCTCATTAGCTGACAACTAAGAAGAACCACAGGATTTTCTGTATGAAATACCCAGGCAAGGAGCCTGGGAAGTCACATAGCTTCTTAAAAAGGCTAAGAGCAAACCTGGCACCCCGTGCTGTAAATTGCCAAACGATCCAAAAGCTCTATTAAATTAAATAATAGAAATTATACGCCAATTAAGATAGATTTTTAACTCCATCTGAGAGAAAACAAATAGATTGCAGACCAGCCTCGGTCGTACATTTCCCTGGTGATCTTACCCCTAGGTCTGCAAACGGCCCATCATACAAAGCCAACTGAGCAACTCGACACCTGTCCCTGTTTGCAAGTGTCTGGGGCGTGCTGTAACCTCCTCTCAATGCATTTTCCTCAGCAATCAGCGCTTCCAGCTCTGGTGTGGCTCCTCCTGTTACCAATGTCCGTATCAGTGTGAGGATATTGTCATTGAAGTATGTCTGCAGAGATAAAAGAAAGCTCTTTAAGCAAACACCATTAAAGTCACAACTGAAGACATCCAAATTACAACTTTTCTGGGTTTCTGCTGTTTAAAGTTCTTGGCTGTCTCTTCAAATAATTTTATATAGAAAGTGAAAAGACAGCAGCCTCCAATTACTCTATTTTCTTCTATCCCATTAGGCTCCTATACTAGATCCTTCCTTTTAAACACCAATTCAGGCTGATTTTTATTAAAGTACAAAAATTTGAATGATTTATGTTTCCTATAATTGGTGTTAGTAGTGATGCAATGACTGCTTTCCTTCTCATTGCCTTCATGTCTAATAATGGGCTTTAGGACATGTAATTGTAAAATTCAGACCACATTTAAAGCTTACACAGGCTAGATTGCCTTTTTACTCTTGTCACCAATTCGTTGGGGAGCTGCCTTTGTGCTGCAAATGTCATTACTTATTACTGTGGCTGGACTCTAGCAGTCTAACTGATGTATTGTACTAAACATCTTATTACGAGACTTGACAGTGTTCAGACATAAGCATGTATCAATTAAACATCTTGAGTTCATTCCAGATAAATGTATGATGAGTTTGGGATCCTGGTGGTCCTTTTAAAAAACTCTAGGGTATAGGGTAAGTGTGGTTTATTAGGGAAGATTTACTCCACACTGACATTTTGCCAGCATCTGTAGCATCGCTGGTCTGTCAGGCAAACAATGGGTATTTTAAATATTAATTTAATGCCAGATGAATGACTTTCAAGTTCACTTAAAAGTATACTGGTATAGTTCAGAGATACTCAGTTAAATATCTGCAATGCAACGTACTGGGCAAAAAATAATGTTGAACAAAAAAAGGAGACACCATCGCTTGCAATGTCACTAATGCCTGTGTTTTCAGAACCTTTGCGAGTGTGGGGGACATACGAGAAGAAAATGAGCTCACTGTAGAGTACCCAGGATTAACATTACTGGCTTGGTGGATTCCGGTGCTAGATTTGTGACTTTTGCTGAATTTAGGACTTGGAACAAATGCCTGTAATCCAACAAAGTAAAAATGAATGCTGAATTCTCAAACAGTGCTTGTTGTCCAAAGGTAATACTTTTTAAATAATACTTTTCAATGAAATTCATTGCCCTATCCATGTAATGTAATTGTATTTAATACGTGGATAAACTGAGGTACAGGTTGAAATATTTTATCCTGAGATCAAAAAGCAGAACTGGCTTCCTATCCATGTTACTTTGATATTCTTCCTTTGTATAATGAAACCTCAGTTTTATTGTTCACTTGTGATGACAGATAAAACAGGAGAAAATGAATTCTACGTGGCAACGTTTTTCACTGTTACATTGAAGTTTCGTAACTTCAAGCTTCTCTGCTTATTTACATAGGCATATATGCCATTCACCTGTTGACTAAATTAAAATGAGAGGAACATATTTTTATTGCTATACATGCCCTAAAGCAAATATTTGCATCTCATCAACTCCAATTATTTTAAATTAGCCGGGGTAAGGCACTACATATTTTAAATACAAAGTGTACTGTAAAGAGCTGTCTGACATTAGCAGGGGTTCAGGAAGATTCAGTTAGTATAAAACAGCAGCTAATCTCAAATCAGCTCTTACGTATGTGGATGCACTGTGTAACAATTCAAGTGTTACTGCTCAAACCTTTCTTAACATATAGAAAAATCAATGTGACCCCTTGCCGGAATGTAAGTCTGGAGTGATTACATGATGTTGAATAGGAATTGCCATGGTGAGAGAGAGAAGATGTTCAGGCACGATTGTTTATTCTTCAATTACTTCTTCCTTGATGTCCCTGAGGTGAGAATCAGAGTTGCCCTCTTTGGCAACTCTTCCCACTGTACTATACTTTTCCAACATGGAAGTACTCAGAATAAAAAAATCATCATTAAATTTAGTCTCTTTTCTTAGCCTTTCTCAGTGTATACTATATACCACTCAGAACTAAAATAATTAGCACAATTCCTGCGCTCCTGCAGTTAGGCGGCAATGCTACTCGACACCGGTTTCACGGATATAAAGCCAAATTCTGCCAGATCTAGAGGTTGGAGGCACTGCAATTGTAGAAGCTGGAAAAGCCATTTCAGTAAAAATGTGCTTCAACATATTCTATATGGCACTTTAAGCACACATCTTCACAAAAGCATACCATTTTCTGCAACAGTATCTTTTCTCATGCCTTCCCCACTCTTTTATTCAGTACTTTTGATTCCTTTTTCTTCTCTAAGTAGTGATATTCAGTATTATTCAAAAATGCTATTCTCAGTTTTACATCTATAAATCAAGATAGAAGAACACGAAACAAAAGCAAAGCATATAAAACTGGTAGATTTTTCAAATCTGGTTTACAATGAGGCCAGCTATGGTAAGAAATGTTCACCTGCTCTAAGACTGATGGATGCTGGTTCGTGTGAAATAGCCTGTTTTTATAGACTGCTGACTTGCAGTGGTTGGGAAAACATGCAAAAGTCTAAAATTGTACTAATAATTTCATTACTCTTTAGGAGGTATCATTAGGCCAGCCTTCACTGGTTTCCAACTCTTTCTCTCTCTCTTTATTCTGTAATTCAAATTATAGCAACTATAGCCAGAATCCAAGATTTAAACACATATACTCTTAGCTCATCTGAATTTTGTACTGTGCAAGTGCACAATTACCCCTTATCGTAAATTCAGTTGTAGCTCACTAGAGCATGATCTACTGAGAAATTGATCTACTTAGAAATTATACTGTGGCCATATCGCTCATTTTACTACAGATCTCATATTAAACCGAGAAATGAAAGCAGTAGTAAAATAATGTATCGAGTCAGGCACCTGTCACAAATTCATTAATAGAAATAAAATAAAATAAAATACACCCCTCCCCCCAAATCCCCGTGCAATTAAGACATAATGGGCCCAATTCTGACTTATGTCTAGAAATTATACTGTGGCCATATCGCTCATTTTACTACAGATCTCATATTAAACCGAGAAATGAAAGCAGTAGTAAAATAATGTATCGAGTCAGGCACCTGTCACAAATTCATTAATAGAAATAAAATAAAATAAAATACACCCCTCCCCCCAAATCCCCGTGCAATTAAGACATAATGGGCCCAATTCTGACTTATGTCATGTACCAACCGGGAGTAACTCTGGGAGCCATACACGACTATGAAACTGATGCAAATGAGAAAAGAATCAGGTCTATTGTCGATGGAACAGACTGCTGCCACCGGAGAAAGGCCTCCCACTGCTAGACAAATGTTAAGGCAAAGCTAAGACACTTATTAGCAAAGGAGGCAACATTTATCTTGGAACAATGGCTTAATTTGGGCTTCACACCATGACTGATGTGGATGTCACCATTTAATCAGATGGATGAGTGCAGCCAAACGATGGGTTTTGGTTTTTTGCCATCAATGAGTGAAAAGATTCCAACTTTCAGGACGGACTGCTCTGGCATTGCAACCGATCAGAAAATGCCCAACCGTAAGGAAGAAAGGATGGGTGAAGAGGAAGCGGTAACTTGTCACCTTCTGCTAAATAGGGTTACTTCCTCCTGTACTAATATATTTAACACTCCTCAGGAAAAACCCGTCTGTCCACGCTTTCGACTGCCACGAAAATCAGACTCCTCTCATTACCTCTTGCCAATTTGGAACTGGGGGGACACTGAAAAGCTGAACTAGCCGATATCCATTTCCCTTGGAATAATAATACACTGGAATTAATTTGAGAGTGATCTTCTACTTGCTCTGTGGGAGGGTACATGGCCTGGATATGCCAGTACTCATAAGAAACCGATCTACAGAATGCCTTTGGAAAGGTGCTGCTGTACTTAAAGTAACAAGACACTTTCCAGTGACGGTAGTGAATCCCTTCTGTTGACTGTAAAATCACAACTGAAGCAATACTTGTTTGCTGCTGCCATTAACTGAACCCCACACTGGACATCTGTACGACATCGCTCTAATCGGCATCGGGAATGAGAATATGAAGTAGGTGCAGTCCAAATACAGAAAAAAGGAAATGCATCATAGACGCTGAAACTGGGTAAACAGCAAGGAAATTCTGACATGGATATCTGAGCTAGCAGTGCCATCTAGCCTGCGCTCCGGAATTGTAGGGCAGCTCTTTCAAACATTTTGGGGACGCTTTCCCATTTGTTCAATCATTTTTTAAAGTATAATTACCAGAGTGCTTATGTTTTGCAGTTAATGCTGTCAAGCCTTTTAAACTAATTGGTCTTTTACAGAAAATTTAACTGAAAATTAGCACATCTTTTAATAACATTGCTTTAACTTTAATAGCACTTTGCCTTTCATTTATAATTACTCTAAAATTGTCATTTTCCAAGTCATATCTGCCATTTTTTTTGTGTTTGCTAGTGGTTTTTTATGGATTTCATTTAAGAAGACTCCTCCTCCACTGCATGCAGTTTTTAACATCGCTTTCAAACAAATATTTTAACTTGCTTTTCTCTTTCAGTTGGAGGAATTTTGTCGAATGAATAATATATATCCAAACCTGAGGAACGACCAAGCTGACATCAGTAACTTATACCAATAACAAAAGGGCCTTTGAGACGGAATCAACAGCAGAAAATAAATAACAGCGTTCCACAGTTTGAAAAATCTACTGGTTCTCAAAACACTGTCCCAACTTTAAAGAAGTTTGGGACACTTTAGGTTACGAGATGCTACCTGCTAATCCCCTGAACAGACTTGCACAAAAAATAGTCTTGTGTTTCAAAACATCCATATCATAGATTAGAACAGTTTCTTTTCTGTATAAATAAGACTGTGAGGATCCCTGGGAGAGAACTCTTAAGTAAGGGATATACTGAAAAGTTATTTTTAACTGTTTTAACTATTGTTTTCCATTCTGTGCTTTCGTTTGTATGAAGAAAAAGTAGAATTCAGTATTACAGAACAAAAATCAGGACCTAAAGTTCTAGCACAAGGAAATAAATTCTAGGATATCAAATGTTAAATGGTATAATCTGCTTCTGGAGATCCTTGCCTCTAACGGCACCACTCCGACAGTATATCAAGTCTATTGTCAGCGGTATGTCTGGGAGGGATGCCAGCCTGCCAGAATTTCTGTGGTTTTCATAGCTTCAGCGCCAAAAGGAGTAACAGAGAAGTTTGGCTCTCAGGCCAACTGTTCAAACCTTTGGCGGTACTGTGCGTTGATAAAACTGGTTTCCTCGCACGCACAGGATTTTCTGTACTAACTATCTCAACAAGACCCAGAAAAGGAAGAAGTACTTCTCAAAAATTTGCTTCTCTTAAGCTATTCTATGTCATGTAACTTTTTTTACAGCTGAAGATAGTCTTTTTACAGAACATCCACGTTATCTAAAAGATGCTTCCGATCCCATGTTTTTCAGTCACATCCAATTTGGTGACGAGAATGTGCTTTGCTTTTCCGGAGCAGCGCCACCTTGAGACTGACAGACTACATATATGCCGTCCCTGGGTTTGCATATGGTATGACAAAACAAATATTAATATATCATTCAAGTCTCTGATGGCAGTAGATGTCTCTTCAAAGACATAATAATGATTAGCTGGTGCGATTTAACAATAGCCGCTGCCACACTTAAAACATGAACCATGCCTACAGTCTTCACACAGAGTACAATAACGCACTTTGACCGAAGCCTGGAGAGGCCGCTGTTACCAACTCATCAAAAAGACAATGCAGTTTCTGAGTTCGCTATTGTCTTCTGAGCAATGATCTTCGAACTACCACACTGTGAATCGTAGGCTTGTGGAATATACTGCCTTTGCTGCAGAGGACAAACTGCGTGTAGACAGCCTGTAGATAGCGTTTTGAAAAGTAAACTTCATTAAACCTTTTATCTTTGAAATAAGAAAATAACAGACCTTTTCAAATTTAAAATATCTCATACTGTCATCTTATAGGAAGTAATGCTAAACTAGCAGAATGTAATGATCTTCAGCATGCAGATTTGAATCTGAAAGCGACAACACATTTTCTAATCTGTGATTCATGAATAGGGTTTAGTCCACTACTTCTATATTAATAAAATTATAGAAAAGAAAATAATAATCTAACACTGATTAGTACTGTTGAATTATTATTACTCAATAACTGAATACTTTAGCAAATTATTTTAAATATATTTTGTACCTCTTTTTCTATAGACATACATCTGTATGTATGTTTCAAATCACCTGCAGGTCAGAAAGAATACTCTATGCGCGGGTATTATTCTACTTTCTAATCCTTCTTACAACCGTTTTACTACAAAACCCCACTGCTGTGAGAAGGGATTCACTCTTAATGGAGCAGTTCATGCATTGTACGTTTGTATCGTAGGCCATATAAGGAATTTGCATTCCAGAGATATCAACAGAGATCGTAAGTTGGAATTTTTCTATAAAAACTGAGCAATAAAAACCCCTGAATCACTAAGTGGATCGAATAACGAACTATATCCTTGTCTCAAAGTGAGCTGGCACAGGCCAGCACAGTGTGAATTATTTCCTTCTTACAGAATTCCTGTGCAGTTAATAGGATGAAAGCGTGACTGCAGATCTCACAATTTAGTTAGGATTTTGGGTTCAGTTTGCCGGTACTGGCTTGAAGTTAGGCAGAATAAATAGAAGCCTGTCCCTAAAAACAAGTGTACTCTAGGAAAAAAAAAAAAAAAGAGATAATATAGTGCAAGTAGATTAGTTTGTGTGAGAAACACTCTTTTCCTTGGAGAAGAAGTGAAAGGAGAATACATCCTTCCCATGAGAATAGGGATAGTAAAGGGAAAACATCTCACACATCTTAACACTTTCTGAAGGGTCAGGAAGAATTTTACTCTTCCAGGTCTTTACTAGGCCTTTGAGGAATAAAAGAGAAAATACCGCTGCCACCGATCAGCAAAGTGGTGAAAGAAAAGACAGGATGGTGACAATTCTAACTGACTGAATCCTTGGCTTGTCTTCTTGATTAGCATTTTTTCTAAGTTAGAATTTTCTACTCTTGTTATCACATTTACTTCTCTGGCTCCAGGCTGTACCTGTCCCTGACATATAATATGACCACTTAGACGTGAAAATGTTTGAAAAAAAGACTCTGTTAAAGAAAGGAATTGCAGAAACGGATGGCCATGTTGTCAAAACTAGAAGTTAATAAAAGCTAGCAATAACTAAAAATGTTGTGAGGATTATATGATGAGTTCCAAGTAAAAATTTCCGAACAGTCAAGTTCCACATATTTCTTATCGCCTCACTATTACCTGCGTGATATACCTTTGCACAAGAAACCAATGGTGTCCACAACATTTTGCTCTCTTTTTGTGGCGATGCCAGTGGCAATCAGAAGAATTAACCCTACTTTTTCCAAGATTCTGGAAGTGCCCTACTGGACGATTCATTCAGGGACATTGATTTAGATAATAACGCGAGTAGATAAACAGCTCTCCGTATAACAATTTGGAACCTTCACGTTAAATTATTCCCATTTATAATGTGAAAATGCTGAACATTTTTTTCATAGACATTTTAATTAGAGCAGGTACAGAGTTTAAGTGTGCTTGCTTAGGCTTTCTGAATTTGTCACGTCTGCAAAATATGGCCAACAACCTTCAAAAAAAAGTATTTTCTGAGTTTATTGCAAACTCCTAGGCTGCATTAGAATAAAATTTTATCAGTGTAGACTGATATTATTCATCTGTGGATGGAACATATGAGGAATATAGCAGGTAATAAAAATATGAAATACAGATACATAAATATGAAACACAAATAAAATATCAAATAATAAAGATCACTGTGATTTTTTCTTAAAAGTAAAAAGCTTCGTTCTGAATTTAGGTGAAGGTCATACTTGGCTCCTTTAAGGAAATCTGTTTGCTCATATCTAATATTATGTGGGGTTTACAACAGGTGATTCCCAGCACCATGGAACTTTATTCCACGGGGAGCTCAGAAAGCCTATGCTTAGATTTTAAAAAGGCTTTGTCCTTGCTACATCTAGCAGAGCTTAAGGTCCCTCTGAAAGAAGTGCAGCTCACACAGAGCAAGACTGGTCTGAAAACCTAGCCAATATGAAGCAAGGGAGGATGAAAGGGAGTATGACCGAGGTATTTGCTTCAAAACTATACTATGGCTGCAAACCAAAAACCCTAATGTAGACATAACCGAAGGCCACCATCTGCAGTTTCTGGCATGCAGTTATGTTTTCATTCACAAGACAGCTCATGTGAAAAAGAGACGATGACCTCTCTTCACACAAGTAGAGTTCACTTGATGTGCACAATGGCTTTCGTACGGTCCTGTCAGTGTCCCCCAGCGCTCATACTCAGAACATTGTTCACGGCTACAGGAAATTAAAAGCTTTAAGCACGGTTGATGGTGTCTGACATGAACGGCGAGCATAGGGACTGACACACTGAATTTGGGTCTGGGTTTCAGGAGGGAGATACAACCTTTTTGGAAAATATTATCCTTAAAGCCAGACATGAGACTCTGCTTTTAAAATTGTGGACTCATGGTAGGCCTAGATATCTCAGTTGTTTTAAGGTCCCTGTGTCCAACTACAAAATAACCTAGTTCAGGCTCTGAAATTCTCTTGCCATCTAAGAGAAAAGAGTCTTCTCCTGACTACCTGTGGAAAAGGGACTACGCTTTCATACTCTTTCACAATAAGTCTAATGGAAAAGAACGGAAAAGGTTTTGTTTGCTTACTGCGCTCATGAGAGAGTCCAGCACACTGACAGCAAATGCGGTTCCACATGCAAAGGGCTGCGTGAGATACAGTTCTGTGTCTGGATCATCATCATCATCTTGGTCCAAGAACTGAACATTTGAATCATTTACTGAAAATAATAATAATAATAATAAAATCATAAGGTGCTTCTGGGTCACCAGGATGTGACCTTACACATTACACAGTCAGAAAGAAAAAGAAACGGCATATGTCTGGAAACACAGACTTGTGTCTTTGACGTCACTGAAAATGAAATCAAGATGGATGTGAAAATGTGCATTTAAAAATCTGTTGATCATTATCTTGCTCGTAAGAGGTGACTCTCTTGCTCTTGAGAGGTGACTATCCCTTTGCCGTAAAAGTAGCTTCGTGGCACCAGCTGCCTGCACTCAAAATGAGATACATGATGCTTTTTTATATATTGAGACAATCTTGGTATTGGTCGGGTACAGTGGCTAAGGCTGTATGCATGTACAGTGAAATGTTATCACAAGATACCAAGTCAGAATCCCTTTGTAAAATAAAGGCTGTCCATTAAACTCTGATATAGCCCACAGGCATCTGTTAGATGTGCTGCTGTGATTCTTACTGGAGTGGTGTTAATGCACTTTCAGCTCAAAAGAGGATAAACTGTCGCTTTAACATGCATCTATCTGAATGAATGAGCAATACTCTAGCTATTCTCTTGCAGCACTGCCTTTTGTTCAAATATTTGTCTCCATAACTTCACTTCCTTAGCCACAAATTCTGTATTAGCCAGTGTGAAAAAGAATCTACATCAGGCTGTTCTAAAGAAAAAGCCCAAATAAAGTAGTATTTGTCATTTAGACTTTCTCTGGCATTTCATTGTCACAGTTAAGCTCTCTGCCTCCACCTCATCACTAAAAATAGTTGTTTCCTTGAGATCAGCGGATCGTATTTCATGAAATACTTCATTTCCATATTAGTCCTCCTCAGGCACGAAAGCAAAGACTGCTTAGCTATGCCATCGAAATACCCTTTAACTTACTAAATGACAAATTAATTTCAGTTCCCATGCAAGGAAAGGAAATTAAAAACTTTTTCAGCATTTGAAACTGCACGCATCGACTATGCCCCTATTCCCCATGTGAACAGGTCTCCTGAGCCAACCCAGGGGGCTTTGAAACCAACATGAGAGCTGCTGTTAACTTGATCAGGTTTCGGCTCCGGGCTTCTTAGGTTAGAAAGTCTGCTGCCTGCTGTTCTGACCTTCCTTCCTATATAGTTTCACTTTCCATCCACTCCTTTTCCAACCTGTATACACTACTGAGCTTGCCACGCTTAGCTTACAAAACACGAATAACTATAGATAAAGCCTCACAATAGCTGTCTAAAAGAGACGAGAATTGTTATCCTTTTTTTTTTAGAGCCCTGTTGTGCCAGTACTTGGCCACGATCATACAGTAAGTCAGGACCTGAGCTGAAGTAGGATTGAAAATTCCTGCCTTCCCACTCCTTGATGTAACCATGAAAATATAACACCTCAGCGTTGTAAACGGAGAAGTGTTCTGCCCTGGGAGTCAGAAGAATTTCATCCTAGCAAACACTAATATCCACAACGCTCCTTTCCTTGTACAATGGCTATCAATTTATTCTCCAGATTCTCAAGCAAAATAGTATTTGAAAGCCCGGCGTATCATTTCAAAATGGACTTTTTGAAGAGCTCGTGCCGTAGTTTAATTTGCTCGTTGAGAGTAGGCACTATTGACAGTAACGTTCTTATCCACTTACATCCAGCAGACTAATAACCTGACTTTGACGCCAGGTTGCTAGCCGTGCCTGGTGTCAGTTTCCAAGGTACTACAAATCTAACCCGAATACCGCAAGTGTGGTTTTATCCTCAATATCTTTATCTTCCTGATGCAAATTAGGACGCTAGGATTTCTACGAAAGGCCTCCCGGCTAGGTGAGGTAGGCTCGAACGTGTGGTGCTGCGCCATAGGAAATGCTCATCAAACACCGCTCGCAAAAGCTGGCCAGAGCTCTCTTTATTGAGAGGGAGCAACGCAGAAGCTTGGCTGCTTTTTTACAGCTTCAAAACCTGAGCTTCTGAGAAAAGGCCTACTCCCCAAAATAAACAAACAAATAGCTTAAGGGAAAGTATGGTGCTGGGGTTTCTTTTCTGGTCTCTTTTACTTCTTCTTTGACTTCCTGCGAGAACTGCTAAGGCATGTCCACCAAATTGACAATATGCTGAAATAACAACAACAGAAAGAGAGAGAGAAAAGGAGAGAAAAAACTAGTGTTGGGGGGGGTAGGGTCCGGGAGGTGGGGACCCAGGCCAAAGAAAATGAATTGGTGAGAAGGTGCTATGAAAACAGCCGGCAGGTCAGACGAGTGTGATCAAAGGTTTACTGATGCTGCGTGAAAAAAAAAAAAAAAATCATTAAGAAAGGCCAGAACAAGACAGTCAGTTTCAACCAGAACCACAAATAAAACACATTCAAAGCAGTGCCATGAGGGTAGCCCCTCTGATACAGCCAGATAAATAAAGAAAAAGCTGATGACAGTAAGAACAACAACAACAGAAAATAAGACAGTGATGTGAAGGAAAAAGGCACTTCTTACCCAGTTCAGTTATCATTAGAATGTGGGTTCCACTGTTTTTTTCCTGACTGATTGAAACCAAAGGCAGAAGTTTGCCAGGCTTAGCTAATAAGTAAAGTATTTAGGGGGAAAAGAAAGTACAGAAAGAGAATAAAGTAAGGGAAAAAGACAGGTAAGGCTCTAAAAAATAAAACTGAAAAGGAAAATAAAAGGACAAAGGACCACAAATCAAGTTTGTATTTGCCATGAAAAAAACAGAACAGCTTCTGCACTTCACATCACACCACTTGACAACATAAATACCCACAGCTAGAGTGGAAATCAGAGCCTGGTTACCTACCATCATCGTATTCTCAGGAGTAAAATGTCTCATACTATTATACAGAGTTTGGTTACACATGATTAAACAGTTCTGGACCATGAAGAAATAAACAAATGGCCTCTTACTATTGATTAAATGCACAGGAAATGTCTGCTCATACTTACTGTGGTTTTTTTCTTTCCTAACCTTAGCCCAAAGACCCCTGCTTATTTGTTACACTATGTAAAAAGCATCTTGTCTGATAGAGTGTTTATTTAAGAAAATGGAGAAAACCCAAAGGGAAGAGAGAAATATATTTCAGTTATTCAAATAAAGTGAAACAACTGTTACTAATCTTTCTTTAGAGACAGTAATTCAAAACAGTTATCAGAAGGGAAAACATAGCAGTGTAAGATACAGTATAGGTAATCTCCCTGAGACTGCATAACAAGGAAAGTGGGAAAAAGATATGGGAATGTACATGAAAGGATAAAAGTTAGCTTTTCTTACCTAGCTCTGTTATAATAGGGATGTTGGCTCCTGTTGTAATGGAGGGTTGACGTAACAGGCCATGGATTGGACTGTTGTCTGGAGATGACCTATCCATCCCAGGGGGTGTAAAGCCTAAAAGAAAAAAAGAAAAAAAAAAAAAAAGAGAAAGTTTACACAGGACAAACTATATTAAAAAAATCCCCACCAACAGGGAATTCCCTATCTCTAATTATTGGGGTTTTTTCAGAAAAGTATTTTAAAAAAATTGTCATTTGAAAAAAACCCATTGACTTCATTTTCAACAATTATTTCTTAAAAGCATAATCCTTCACAAATATGCAGGTCATTTCTACTGTAAGATATTTGGTAGCTAATGGAGACACTGAAATTTATTTTGTTATCCCAGGTAGCCTTTGCATCAAGACATGCAAAATGGAAAGAGTAATGCTTACTTAAATATAAATAAAAAAATAAAAACTTCAGTGTTAGAGAGGTTTAATTTTGTCCTATTAGTATTTCAAGTAATCCCGAAACAAATACCTTTCCTTAAACCTCAATTAACATTTTAAAGAGTATTGTTTGTAAACAGTATTACAACCACGAGGAACAAATTGCTTCCATTAGCAGGTTTTAGGTTTGATCAACATGCAGGATTCAAAATTTTCTAGCTGTTTTCCAGGAGCAATACAACCTACACAAAGGTGGTTTTTTTTCTTTTCAGGTGTACCATTCATAATACGTAATTTAATGAGTATTACAGTTATAGGAATACTGGGATGGAAGGGCCCATTCTAACAGGAAAAAAAAGATAGGATGGAAGGAAAAAGACACAGGTTTTCAACTGGTATGTAAGAGGAATGCTTGAAAAGAAACTAGAAAGAGTTTTATACCTTTGGGGATGTAAAGGCAACAAAGGTGGGAGAAGAAACACATTGGCAGGCACTCAAAGAAAAAAAGGATCTGGAGAGCAGCAAGGTTCACCTCTAAAAAAGATTGTGTTTTCAGCCTGATTCTCTACACAGTTTGAAATGGAGCTCTTGATACCGAGCATTTTTTAATCTTTTTTCTGTTTGTTTTTTAAATAAAAAATACCCAGGCAAAGCCTTTTGGAGTTTGATTGTAAGTACTGAAAAATAGGCAGTTATACAAAAGCCCATGCAACAGTTGGACTGGAAATGCACAGTTGAGACTAATGCATTCCATCTCCCTTGTCCGTTAAAGCTGCGGAAAGCATGGGAATGCTCATTTAATGTCATTATTGCAGAAGTGATGGTGAAGCCAGAGTTTGACTTCAGGGTTTCATGTAGACCAATGTCAAGGCAGCATTTTTAAGCAAATATTTGTCTGCTAGGAATAGGATTGAGCCAAGCTCACTTTCAAACAGACATTTATGAGAAAACATTCATTTTTTTGCCACATTATGCCCGAGTTCTTTGACTTCACGCCTGACATCCAGGGACAGACTTTTGATCCTCTGTCATTACTGGTCTGAACTAGTTTTGAATTCTCCATATACCAATTCTAAATTAATCACAGACAAATTAATTCCTGATGTAACTTCATTATCTTCTTGCAGTGTGGAAACCGTTTCACTGCGTTAAATTCATTGATACATTCATCTGCTGCTGAATTCAGAAGAAGATGATATGATATTATCTGCTTTACCTTTCTTCAGTTTGGGGACTAATTTACAAACCAGGAAATCTCTAAACTAAACTGTAGTTGTTAACACGTGGTACTGGCTTTATATTGTCTTTCTGAGGGATTTATGGTTCTTTTCCAGTGATAATTACCATCACGCTTAAACTGTCCCTAAACAATACAAACTATAAGGACCACTAGATCTGGACTTCTTGATGTAAAGGGTTTTAATTTTTTATTTGATATTCAGTTCATTTCTCCCTATGTTTTGTCTATATCAGATATAGAATATATAGGTAATAAAACTAGAATCACTGAGAAGAGAGACTTACTTAGCCCTTACCAGTATGAATTTCCTCCTGACTATCACATGAAAGTTAGATACAGCATGAGGATTGTAAGGACAGGATAAGTAAAAAGGGAGTGAAAAGCCTGTGAAGAAATTCCTTAGGAGAAAAGAAGCGGATACGGTATCTTCAAGAGGCTTGCGAGACAAAAACATCACCATAGGCAAACCTAAGACAGCAAAGCAATTCTATTTAATATTACCAGTGCATAGAAAATCTTTAGAAAGCAGATTTCTTAGAGACAATCGGAAATGTTGGCAATGTTAACAGCTGGTCATTTAATACTACTCGTTGTGCTGAAACTAATTCAGTAAGACCGGCATGGTGACAGTGAGTTGCATTCCCAACTGGTATCGGTTTGCAGATGTTTCCTTGTGTCTGGCACTGTGACTGATAGCCCTACCGGCTCTGTGAATGCTTACTGCTGCACGGCAGAGCCTAGGATTTCTCAGACTCACAAAGTGAGTCTAAGGGAGTTCCTTCAGGCACCACCTCCTGAGTTAGAGGCAACCCTGACACTCTCACAACAGCAGGAAAATTAAAGTGGGACTCCAAAGGGAGGGAACGCTATCTGAGGACAGGTGGGTATTAGTGCGACACCTCCTTCTGCAGCAGGCTCCAGTGTTTAAGTTTTGCATTCTGTTATGCCACGGGAAAGGCAGGACACAGCTTTTGTCACACTACGTTAAAAAAAGCTCAAGTAGCTGTAGACTCCTTGAGCAATTAAAGTGGCAGGCCCAGTTGGGTCCTCTGCAGAATTACAAGTCAAAATGGCACCAGCAAGACTTTTTACACTCGTTTATCTGAGAGCAGAGAAAACTAATCTTGTTCCCATGCACCCTAGGGGTTGTACTGCTGGGAGCATCCCTAGAGGCCCCGGTTCTCCCTTTTTCCTGAAGGCTTTTCTCTCCCCAAAACATCTTTCAGTGAATCAGGCTCTTCAGACGGTAAGAGCACATCAGTATTTCCCTACCAGCTAAAAGGAAAATTGAAGAAAGTTGGCATAACTGCGTCTAAATGTGTAAGCCCTTCTTGCCCTCCCTCTACTGCAATGTGCACACACACAGAGAGGCACGCGCATGCACATTCTCCATCGAAGGCTATTTGTAGCCACCTCTCTAACCCTTCAAATATTTGTCTGCCTAGGATGGTGTTAGAAGATTGAAGTAAATGTGTCATTTCTGTTAGACACAGACTGTCAGGAGCTCTGTAATTGCACACTGCCCACACAGTGCATTCAGTCCGAAATGCAGGAAGCATGTTAAAGGGAATTTGTTTTCTCCTTGAATGAAAAATAAGACTCATGCCTTAATATTTTTCGTCCGATGGTCTTGGAAGATGTGAGAAATATCTGCTATCTTAATTTAATTTCCTTGTCTCCGCTTAATTCAGACACTTCTAAAAATCCACTCTTTAAAAATATAAAAGTCTTGGAATATTTTCAGGAAAGGAAAATTGTAGTGCTTGGGGATTTTGTGTGCCTATGTTTGGAGTCACAAGGCATCGTACACCTTCAGGCCACATTGTGCTCCCAAGTCACAACGTAAATTCTATAGATAGCCTCTGTATTTTTTTCCTCCAGAAGAGAGGGGGGAAAAAAAGTGCAGGAAAACTAACCTGCTTTATCAGAACTTTCATTTAAAGGCATGAATAACTACAAGTGACAGCTGTGCAGATTCAGTGAATGTGACATTTCTGAATTTCTTCAACTTGACAAGTAAACACCTTAAATCGGTAATGCTATATGCATAATACATGACCTGTATTTTGACATCCATCATCAAATGCTGACTTGAGAAAATACAGGTTTGTACGTCAAGGAATAGCACCCATAAAGCAGGGAGAAATTCAGGTCACAGGGTATTAGGAAAACTCTATTTCATTACAGAAGCTGAAACAAGCTAAGGCATCAGATTTAAGATCCATTTTCAGCTGTGAAAAGATTCAATTCCTCTGCACAGAGCATTCATTTAGAAATGACATGCTTTCCTCACAGCCTCTTTTCATTTCCCTTTTCATATTCCATTTTCTCCTTCAGTCCCCAAACCTTGTTCCATTAACGCTCATAAAAATCGTAAAACGGGGCTGATGATAGCTGTGATCTTCTTATAACCACAGTGTCTCCTTGTTCAACAAACAACTGAGGGAGCTGTGGCTACAATTGCTTAACAGGATCAACCTCTAGAGTAAAATTCACATGGCCTGTGCAAGCCTGAGCACAGTCCCTGCGTAAGGAAATAGAGCGACAGCGGGGGGATTCTGGAGAAGGGAATTCTCTTGGCCAACAGTTAGGAGGTAAGGTGCAGCACAATCATATCAGTGCCTGCAGCCACTGCATCCGATACTAAATTGCTGTACCGGGTGAGCGATTGCCTTTGCATCACTTGGGTTTTGTGGCTTTGTGTTTTGTTTTGGGTTTATTTTTCATCTTCACTCATTCCCTCAACCCACGAGGTTTTTTCTCCCTTTTGCCCTTCTGCTTCTCTCCCCCATCCCGCTGGGGGGGAAGTGAGTAAGAGACTGGGTAGGGGCTTAGTTGCCAGCCAGGGTCAACCCACCACCGTTGGCTACGGTGATAACCACCACAACGTCAAACTGAGGAAATGGCTTGGACTTCAACAGGAGGTAGCAAGCCCCTGTCCCTCTCTGAAACAAGATGCTGCCAAACGGTGGATTAAATATATCATGCCTCGGAGAGGAACACAGGCTCTGGGTTCCTGATGTGCTCAAAATCAGTGAGGATTGGCAGTTGGATGTCACTCTCTTTGAGAGGCAAGGACTCCTGTGCCCTAACTCAGCTATCTGCTCTGAAGGAGTTTGAGCCTCCTGCAGTTCTCTGCAGAAAGCATCTGGTTCAGCGTCTTGATTCTGTGCAAAGAAATATTTCCCAGCTCCCCCTGGGATACTACTGCTCGCAAAAGTAGGTGAAACAACCAAACAATTGCATTAGAGGCAAGATTCTACCTCTTTAAGATGTTTTCATCTTTGTGGAAGGAGAACCCCAGGGAAACTTCCTCCCCACAAGGAGGCAAGCTCTTTTTCCCAAGACTTACTGGGGATTTCCCAAGAGCTGTCCTGCTCAGAGCTCAGCAGGGCCAGTTGGCTACAAGCCCTCCTTGTCTCTTACAAAATCCCACGTACAAA